ATCACCATAGCACTGTGAATGCCTGTCGGACTACCCTCAACTATCCGGACATCTTTGCGCAGATGAGGCGGACCATGATGAGGTGTGTCAGCGCCTGCATCGAATATCATGGAGGACATTTTGAGCACTTGTTACAAATGTACTCTTTCAGCTCCAACTCTCAAATTACATGTTTCCAGGCACATATTGTTGTGGACTTCTTTCTTGTTTCGGTATGTGGAACTTGGGCACAAAGTTTGTCCGCACATTTCAGTTACACCCTGTAGACCTATACGCAAGCGGCATAGTTTCGTCAGAACAGCTAGTGGGCTATGGGCTGGGCGATCAGAGAAACGGAGATCGATTCCCAATAGGGACAAAGAATTTTCTATGAGGGAGAGTCAGTAAGTAGGTCAGATGGAAGTAAAAGAGCTGTAATGGACGTAATAGGTTTCCTATGTGTATCACTAGGTAGCAGCACAGTCCACCTTCATGACAGTCTAGGTAGCAGATGCGCAGGCATATGCTCAGAGGCTGGTTTCAGTAGTTAAGACGGTGACTGTGCTTCATGAGTGTACGACCAAAGAGCAGCGTTCTGTTGTACGTTTCTGTGAACAAAAAGACTCAATGCAAAGGATATTCATAAAGAAATTTTTCATCTTTACTTTGGAAAGTGTTTGTCGCGTAAAGCGGTTGACAACTGGGTCGATAAATTCTCTCAAGGACGTTCAAAAGCCGCAGATGATGCTCCGAGAGGATGGGAAGTGGCTGAGACAAAAGTCAAAAGACTTACATGCTGCGTGTTTCGACACAGGTAAAGCGATGGGACAAATGTATCAATGTTGGTGGAGGATATGTCGAGAAATACATGTTATTTCTAGGATCGAATATCATATGTTTTACATTTTATATCAATTTGTGACCTATTTACTGACTTCTTCGTATTTACCATCTTGTTCAGACTGACTTTCCAGCCCATACAGCCTCCTATTCAACAGATACTAGGGGCTTTCTCCCGAGGATAAAGCTGCCGAAGCGTGAAGCTACGGCCATTTGCTCCATCTAATATCGAGGTTAAGAATATGTTGAGCTAAAGTTCACTTATTCTATGTATATCTTAATTGTGTACTGCTTAATTAAGCAGAGGGATAACTTCGATTTCAAAGCAATTCATCTGAGTCGATTATTTTATTTTCAGATATCATTCCTCGCGATGACCTCAAAAAATATTTCTCGTGATTACAAAAGTAAAGGCAAAGGCATCCTTGTAACAGGTCGTGGAGGCCCATAGGGTTGCGAGATGTTGAGGCACCCACATTTTCCAGATAATTGGCTCACAGGTGGCGGTAAGCTTGTCAGCAATACGCACTCGGGAGCACTTTATCCCCAGGAAGATTCCTGGTACTCATTTCTGTTAGGGGCTGAGTCGACCTCAGGGCCATAGTGCGGCTGGAAGGATTAAGTAAGTAAAGTAAAGTAAAAGTAAAGCTATTCCTGTACCAGGTCGTGAAGGCCCATTGGGTTGTGAGACGTTAAGGGTCCCACATTATCTAGACAATCGGCTTAAAGATGGCGGTTCGGTTGTCAGCCTTACGTGCCGGCCGCGCTTTACTCCCCAGGAAAATTAGTTAATTGATTCCAGGAAAGATTACGTAACTCGAAGAAAAATCCACCTGATCGGGATTCGATCCCGCGACCTTCCGACTTGTAGTATAGTGCCTCAACCAACTACGCTACCGCGTGCCCCTGATTAAGAAGTATGTACACAACACATTTCATGGTACGTAGTTCCTGAACTCGTTCCCCCGGATGCTGGATGTCTGATGACCAATGTTCAATAAAGTGTTCTGTCACCAAAATTATCAAGTAACTCTCATAATTATCATTTGTACTTTTCTCCTCGGCCTCTTACATGAACTTTCAATTCAAACAAGCACCGAGAGCGTCTCAAAGAGATATATTCCAAATTGCTGAACAGCAAACTCGCCATTATACTGCCTTATATTCTGGTAAAACACAGCGGCTCTATAAGACATTGCAGTTGCTACAGGTTCATTAGCAGAGGTTTCCGCAGAAGATTTTGCTTCCTTTCATAACTTGTACTCTTCTCCAAGTATAATTAGAACGAGCAAGTCAAGCAGGATGAGATGGGCAGGATATGTAGCACGAATGGGGGAGAGAAGGAATACATGTAAGATATTGGTGGGAAAGCCGAAAGGAAGGAGACCACTGGGAAGACCAAGATGTAGGTGGGTGGAAAATAAAATGGATCTTAGAGAGATAGGATGGGATGGTATGGATCGGATTGATCTGGCTCAGGATAGGGACCAGTGGAGGGCTCTTGTGAACACGATAATGAACCTTCTGGTTCCATAAAATGGTTGGAAGTTCTTGAATAGCTGCACAATTGGCGGCTTCTCAAGAAGGGCTCAGCTCCATGAGTGAGTGACAGAGTTGATTGTAGGTTCTGAGCAATGATGGAAATTCCACGGTGTTCCATATCAGAGAGACACTTAACATTTAACATGTAAGACTGACAAGATTAGAAAATGTTGGTCACTCCCTCCTTTTTCTGTATAGATCTGTGATACGTAACTGATTTGTGTCTGGATGTTGGTTGCCTTAATACTGCTTTGAGGCTCATAACAATACTCCGTTATAAATACAACCGAAAAATAAACGACAAAGCAGTAAACCAACTTTCACTGCAGATACGTACAAAGCTTGGCTCTGAGTAGTTTGAAGTACGCAGTTATCTGGCTGCGTCCTACAGCCTTCCACATGGAATGAGGTAAGACACACCGACCACTGCGACACACACAGCTGTGGTTTTCCCAAAATTCGCAATTAGCTATACAGGCGCTGCTTCGCAATCTGCAACGGAAACTACTGAAAATGAACAGTTCTATGTTCTGAGATATAATGCCGTGTAGTCCGTTGATATTTCGAAGAAGAATGTCGCCTCCATCTTCATGGAAACAAGATATTCCTTCGAAACTTGTAAGGACTACACGAAATTATATCACAGAGGATATAAATCTTCATAACTACTGCTCCGAGAACCTCGAATCCTAAAAAGAAGTCTGAAATCTAAACGTTAGAAGTGATAGAAAAAAATTTCAGCTTTTTAGCTTTTCTGTGTAAATTATAAACTCTGGGGGACTAATGAAACTCTTAATACTGCAGTTCTATCTTATATTACCAGATTATTCTGGTAATATAAGAGTTTATAATAATACAGCAAAGCAAAAAAAAAAAATGCAGAATCCTTCTCGAAATATTTTTTCAATTGTAAAAGTGGAGTTCCTAGTTGCACTTTCAGCGATATTAAATTTTTAAAAAGGAGGATGTGATGTGCAAGTCATGTAGTACGCATTGGGTATAAGAGGAATGTATACCAGAGAATGATGGGAAAGTCACAAGAAAAGAGAGCACTAGGTAGACCTAGACGTAGGTGGGAAAATAATATTAAGGTGGATCTTAGAGAGATATGATGGAGTGGTATGCACTGGATTGACCTGACTCAGGGTAGGGACCAGTGGAAGGCTCTTGTGAACATGGTAATAAAACTTAAGGTTCCATAAAATGTCGGGAGATTTTTGAGTAGCTGCACAACTGGCGGCTTCTCCATCGAGTTAGTTGGTGTCATAAAGATCCATAACAACTTCTTGCCATAACTGAATTCCTACTTTCATTGCGGTACAGATCCTCAGTTTTTCAGACGCAGTTCTGAGCCCCGCCTTTCGACAAAGACTGAATTTGACTTCTTTATCCTCCATTAACTTTTTAAATGGTGGTCCGTGCTGTTTTTTATTGCTAGTGGGGTGGGACTAAGTTCCTTGTACTTCCTAGGCCACTTCTGGCCTATTGTACCAGCCCCAGACGATAGGTGAGGGTCATTGTGGAGCAATTGGTGGAATGAATATTGGCAGGGAAAACCGAAGTACTCGGAGAAAACCTGCCCCAGCGCCACTTTGTCCACCACAAATCCCACTTGACCAGACCCAGAATCGAAGCCGGGCCGCCGCAGTGGGAAGCCAGCGACTAAGCGCTTGAGCTATGGCGCGGCCCCATGGTCAGTGCTTAATTAATGCGTTGTCCAACATAGACACCTGCACAGTCTAACTGTTACGAGGAAAGTGTTTGGCTGCAGGAAGCTGAGGACACTGTTAGACCTAAGGGCACGGAAGTAACAGCAGGAAGAAGAAAATTACACATTTTGGGGCATCATACTTTGAGCTCTTCACCAGATATTAAACTTCTCAAGAATAACTGTTCTCAACGACGATGAAAATTACAAAAACGGCGATAGTATCTGTGTCTGTGGTCATGATGTAAATTTCGATATATTTTTTATAAAAAAAACTGAAAAAGAAACTCCGTGACCTGTAGTTCGCAAACGAACTATACCGACGAAGCGACCGCCGCTTGTTGGCGAAGTTAGTGCCAACTTCAGCGGATAGAGAGTGTCACGTTGTCAGCGCAACGGATCCCCACGGAAGTTAATCTCGGTTTTCTAGACCGGAACCGCTATTTCCTTGAAATAGCTCCTCAATTATCCTCAAGAGGCTGAGCGGACCCCGTTACAGACCCACTACTTCTCAGAAAATCTGGATCTGTAGGCAGGAGCTCTGACCACTAGGCTACAGAGGCCGTCATAATTTTTATAAGGCCGCAACAAATAAAGACGTGTAGTAACAGGTTGGTGCATATGGCTGTGAAATTATAATTTACAATTTTATAAAAATGGAATGTGAGCGGGGCAGACGTAGCTTAAAATAGAGAATACATGAACTATGAATAGGGGAGGGTGACAAGAGAATATCCTAAACAAAATGAAACACACTTAATAAAAAAAGGAGGTGGGACAATAAATGAAACTAGAAGGGGAAACATCTCATAAAGAGTTTATAATAATGTAAAGGGGAGGAGGTGGCGGTATGGGTGGAAACTTGCTTCGCAAGGAGTGGAATACGAAGGAGAGGAGAAAGAAAAACCACTTCAAGTGTAGGTACCAGTCAGTGGTAAGGCTGTTGTTGAGAAGCCAGCCTGCCAACTGCGCTCTCTCCAACACTGACGAGGAGAAGGAGTAGAACAAGTTGCCAACAGTGAAATTTGTACCTCTCTTTCGTGTGTCGGACATGTTAAATAAAATTATACAGTGTGAACAGTAAATCAAGGAAGGTTCGACGACCGTTGTGTTTATGATTCAAATAAGCGGGATTTCTTTCGGAGAGCGGGGTTGTTCAATGTGCAAATATAGGTTTGAAAAAGAAAAGAAGAGGAAATATTACGCGTCATTAATTCTTTGCACTGAAAAGTAATTTACACCCAATTTTGTTTGAAGAATATATTTACGTACATATTAAAGAAGTGCCTTTTATTTCTTCGGTGTGACTAAACTTGAATTCACAATCTCAGTGTGTACTTTAAGTGTGCAGTGTTTCTTCTCTGTGTCTCAGAAAAATAAAACAAAAGTGAAAAGAAGAAAATCTTTAAGAATGAATTCCTACCGATGAAGAGGCTTTTGCTTTGGACATAAAATTGAATATATCCCTCGTAACTTCTCCCACGATTTAGGTGAGTTACAATAGCATCTCATGCAATATTATAATTATACTTGTAAATTTAGTTCACAGTCCCTAGTATCAGTAACATAGTATGCTACTTCAGTGAGAAGTTATTGACGATTACATGTTCAGTAGCGACTTTGGTCTATTGTGACTGGATCGCTTTCAGTCTCAAAGTACTCCTTCCAATTTGTAAGAATTACAGAGTTAATTACTAGTTAAACATTAAGTATTTTATGTAAATTAATGTTCGACTTCCAAGATTTGAAGTTCATAGATGTGAGACTGCTCTTAGGCCTTCATTGGGCTATAAGACTGTCGCTGGCATCAATTTGTACTCCTTAATAGCTACCTGATATGATTATTATCTTGATTTCGTGCTATAACTTTCCTAGACCTGCATGAAATTTAAGTATAAATAATGAGCTTGTTTTCTTATGTTCATACTGTCATGCCCAGATCTTCGCAAATGTTAAGGGTCACCATGAAAGCTGACAGCAGTACAATCTTATTAATGTACGCTGAAATTCGGAAATAATGTCTGAAGGAATAAGAAACTGCAAGCAGAGCAACTACTCATGAAATTCAATAGAACGTATATTAGAAAAACTGTAGAAAATAGAAAATGCTCAACAATTTTGAAGGGAATTCATTGCAAAAAAAAAATTTAATTTTTAGTTCACAACTTTTAAAATAGCGCCCTTTCGAGACTTTCATAACAAAACCTGGCCATAGTCAGCCTCTTAAAATTCAATTTTGTGTGAAACAGCCCCCCCCCCTACTAAAAACCCTGTTTTGTATTCGAGAGGTAATGGGTTTGATTCTCGATCCCAATAGCTGTTTTAACAATATTTATCACAACCGTCCTCAGTACTGCATGAAAAGTCTCTGATATTATTATTAACAGATCAGGACTATTTCCTTCCATACTCTTTCACTTCATATTAATTATCATCCCGCTATCCTGTGCCTTTTAACATATGCAGCTGAAAAAAAATTAGTTAAATTGTCCATGAATCAAAACGTTAAGCCGTGATTCTCATACGACACTCATCCATCATATCACCGCCACCATCATCATATCATTATCATTATTATAATCTGACAGTATAGCGATTCAATTTCAGTTTTCAAGTATGGCAAAATGTACGTATATGAATGGACTCGCAGCTAAATGTCTTCATTACGAGAAGGCACAACTTCTAAAACACATTTCTTAACCTACTTTCCACAATTTGTGAGGAAAGGTATGCTTACGGCAACGCGTCGGTGCTGCATACATGTGTGTCTCAATAAATAACGTTTGAACCTACTGATTAATCTTAATTAATTGTCACAGAAGGCAACTGTGTTTCCGTAATCTTTAATCCCGCATAAACAATAATACCAAGATGGCTGGAGTGCGAAGCTAGCGACTACAGATTGGAAATAACTGACAACAATACGTTCTAAATAATACAGGATGAAAAATGTTAGGAATAAATCAATCATTGGCGAAAGTGGCCCTTATGTACATTTTAAAAAGAAGATGGCGACACTGCGTCGTACTGTAGTGCCAACTGCGACTGCCTGTGCAAAGGTATGTTACAAATGTATGGTACTTATACGTTATACATTTTAGCTACGTATATCTTCACAGACGGCATCGTTCAAAGAAACGAGTGTATTACAGTTTCTTCATTATTCATTCTTTCTTTCCTTCTTTTCCCCTCTATTTTCTTAATTTCTCTCTTTCTTTCTGACTTCCGTTTTGACAAAAAGAAAAGGAAAACCACTGATATTAAGAATAAGATTTTGGAACAACTGTCCAGCTTAATACTGCCATCAAGCTTTGTAACTAACTCCATGGCCATGAATCCAGTCGCTCAGCTACTAAAAAATTCCCCAACGCTTTATAGAACTCGAAGGTTCGTCACCGTCTTCACAAGAACCCTAAATCATTTCTTATCGTGATTCAAATGAATCCAATCCATAGCACTCCATTCTCTTTCTCTAAGATCCATATAAACCTGAGTACATGTCTCAATAGAAATCTCTTTCTTTCTGGATTTTCCAACCAAATTCCTATATGCTTCTTCTTTCGCATATGCGTGCTACATGACCTGCATATCTCCAAAGAATTTTAAACATTTATAATTACATACAAATTTTACCAGCGGGGAAATTGTTTCTTCAGCAAAGTAGTATAATTTCATTTAAATAATGCAATAATTTCAATCTGCGTCATTACTGGCATATATGGCTTGTATGTAAAATATAGAGGTAAAGGGTAAAGTTATCCCTGTAAAAGGTCGTGAAGGCCCACATAGTTGTGAAACGTCGAGGCTCCCACATTTTCTAGACAATCGGCTCACAGATGGCGGTGAGGTTGTAAAACTTACGAGCCGACCGCACTTTAACCACAGAAAGATTTCTGGTACTTATTTCTGTTAGAGGCTGAGTCGACTCCAGGGTCATAGTGCTGCTGGAAGAATTAGGTCAATCGAAAAAATCCAATTACCTCATCGGGAATTGATCCCGCGGCCTTCCTGCGTGTAGCATGGTGCCTCAACCAAGTACGCTACCNGGGGGGGGGGGGACAAACAAAAAATAAAACTGTTGGTGTTACACTTTCTGGCTGTTATTTTTGTGATCAACATATCCAGTTTACTCACAAACGGCTCATTTACTATAAGTTATCGACAAAATCAAAACCTCTTGTGCTGCGGTATTAATATTCAAGATCTACGCATCCACAGTAACTGCCTTCGACTGTTCAGAATAACCAAAAGTCTCGAACGATTCGTTAACACGCCTGATTCGCGGGTTCGAATCTAGACCGGCGTACCGACTATTTTCATTCCTATCCTCGTTATCTAAGTGCAAGCGCGAAGGCCACGACCGCTCCCTTCCTTATCCATTCCAGCGAATTATTCATTATAATCCATTCATCCTATAATCTGAGCTAACGATAGCGTCGTTGAGCAAACAAAAAGCAGAGCGCACTTGAAAACTGGCTTGCGAAAGCTGAAAGTAATCCAACATTTCCCTTTCTCACAAAATTAACATGGGCCTGTGTGGATTTAAAAGACAGAGGGTTGAACCAAGGATAAAATATGAGCATTATTTGATGATCGATTTCCCATGGTAATTTATTACGTTTATTTTCAAAGTACAGGTTGAAAGGTCAGTATCCAAACAACTTCTGAGACTCAGATGTATTGGTCAGTAAAATTAGGCCAACGGCCTCGTAGCCAGTCCAGTCCTTTAACGGCCTGTACTCACTAAACGTTCAGAACTCTAGAAAGCAATGAGAGAAATATTTGCTTATTACTCGTACATTAAACGACTGAATATTTATAATAAATATTCGTACAATAAATAGGAACGACTTCTTATAATTTGTATCACTGCCTTGACTGGACAATTCAGTCCATAAATTATGCAATATTTACATAATTAATAATGATTTTAATACTGAATAATGATCCTGAATTGCAAAGCCTACACTGTTTTCTGCTGCAATTTTTATTCCAGTAGTATCTTTTTTAAACATATATTTCGTTTGAATTAAACCAGCTCTACATTTATAAAGAATTTTTATTAAAAAACAAATTTTTAGTATATACAACATATGAATTCGCCAGTTACTATAATCAATGACTATTTTAACAAAATCCACATGCCACAGAGCTATTTTCTTAATATCCACGTTAATAATGAAATTTATCCGTATATATATATATATTTGTCCAATCCCTTATTAAATTTTCAAGAGGTAGAATTTTTTTTACAAAACTAAGCGTGGATATTATACATTTACAGGCTACACTATCTTGCAAGATTAAATCCCTGCCGTCTACAGTACCAGTTTACGGAATGTCGTCTGTCTTTATGCATGTGTGTATGTACATATGTATGTGTATGTATGTGTGTATGTGTTATGTTGTATTGTATGTATGCATATGTGTGTATATATGTGTATGTACGTGTATATGTGCGTATGTGTTGTATTGTATGTATGCATTACATATATATTTCTGAACGTACATATGTATGTGTCCCTCACTAGCGCCTGAATGATCAAATAGATTATATTCACCTCCGATATTTAAGAGCCCATCCATCATGGATCGTAGCCCGGTGAATATAAACATTCTAGCTTCAAAAATAAGTCTTTCAAATAGGGCCAAAAACAAAATGGCTAATTTCTCGAAAATGGCTCAAACGATACTGATTTAATTTAAGGAATTTGTGAAGACCATCGCCCTAAGAAAAAGTGCATGGGCGATATCATGAGAAAAATAACGGCACGTGCGCTACGGGCCAAAATAATTACGCAAAGTAACGTTTCTAACGGAAGCTACACGGAAATATATTGCACATTTGATGTCTAACATACGTTATCCGAAAGTTTATATGCATCGAACTAAATTAAGATGAATCTTTACACTATGCGTACATTTCCTAACGTGTAAATTCAGCAACAAGTCCGAACTTTATGGGACAATCGGTAGCGGTTTTTACAATATATGCGAAGATTACAGAAGTCTCTAATTAACGATAATTAAACAAAACTTTCTCTCACCTATATTTACAGGTACACATGCACACAAATATAGAAATATAATTTTACACAAGAATAAAAGTCTTTTCGGTGGTTATCTGCGTTACTCGAAATAGTTAATACTGTCCCACGGCATTATTTGAGGGCGTAGATTCAAAGCCGTGTATTTTTGTAAACAGATATGAACATTTCTAAGGAATATAAAAACAGCACATTACGCCGAAACGTTGGAATCTATCAATCAAATTACACTGCATCATATCCCAGAAGACTGCACTGACTCAGGATCTTATCGAATTACATGCTTTTGTATTAGCGGTGCTGAAATTCTGGGTTCTGTTACACCAGGTGCAGCGAGTTAACTGCCGGACATCTTAGTTATTTTAACGCAAAGAGAGCAAAATCAACCTGTGATGTCTAAACTCTGAACAGCAGACTTTGAAATGCGGATATTGAAGATGCAC